TAGGTAATCACACTTAATTACACTTAGGTAATCACACTTAATTACACTTAGGTAATCACACTTAATTAGACTTAGGTAATCACACTTAATTACACTTAGGTAATCACACTTAATTACACTTAGGTAATCACACTTAATTAGACTTAGGTAATCACACTTAATTACACTTAGGTAATCACACTTAATTACACTTAGGTAATCACACTTAATTAGACTTAGGTAATCACACTTAATTACACTTAGGTAATCACACTTAATTACACTTAAATAATTACCGTCTACGCTGTTTTACCATCTAAGAATACTCAAAAATATCCGAATAATTTAACCTTTGTAATTTAACCACTTTAGCGAAACTTTTAAAAGTCAATTGACCAAAATATTTGGAAGCATCGCTATTTTGTTCATAGATTCAGTTAAAATAACGTTCCGAGTATTGCATTAAACATCACCACACAATAAAAAAAATTAAATATTCAGACAAGATACGAAAGCTCACTGAAGACCGTAGATTGGGGGAAAATCTATTTAGGTGATTGGAAATGTGTAGCAGAGGAGCTTTTAAAGGTACTGGAAGTGTAGGAGGTTCTAGGTGAGGATTGTAGGTAAAAGGGGGATGGGGGATTGTAGGTGTGTGGCCGGGGGGATGGGGGGGTTTAGGTGTGTAGGGTGGGGTGGGGGGTTTAGGTGTGTGAGGTGGGGTGGGGTGGTAGTAGGCTTAAAAGGATAGAGATGCTTGGTTTAATAAAAAAAAAAGGTTGGTTTAAAAGTTCAACAGCCTCCTGGTGTGTGTTTGGGGTTAAAAGGGTTTCACAGACAAACAAAACACACACACACACACACACAACAAACAGCATCCAAACACTACTATTTTCTCCTAACAAACTACTAACAAACACTACATTCACTACTGACCATTTTCCTGTCTGCATCGTCACCTTCATTTAACGTTTCACAAATCCACGCCGCAATCCACCACTGATCAGCTGCCCTTATATCCACGAGGGAGTTTGAGTATATATATCCAGATCTATATCCTTGTTTTGCTCCACAATTGCGTGTGTTCATGTCTAGGTTACGGTGGGATTATATCCTGGATTGCACCAGTTGATGCCTCAAATTGCGTGCGTTCACATCCGCTGTTGCGTGTGTTGTATTTGGCGATTGCCAGAGTTCGCACGCTTATGTTAGTGAAGTTTGAGTGCGGGAGCCCCGCTCGCGCGTGTGTGGAGGGATAGAAGAGGATCGAGGCTCGGGGCTGCTGCTGGGGCTAGAACCCAGACGGCGACGCACAGGCTAGGAGGCTGCACACCCCACACACACCTCACCACAGTCAACACTACCACCACCACCACCACCACCACACACACTTTCAATCGTGTACTCCACCACCACCACCACCACCACCACCACCACTACTCCCTCCATCCATCCACCACCACCCCTCCCTCCCACTCAACCATTTGTTAGTGTTCAATTATTAGTTGTGAGTTAAAACTTCAATTTTCTAATCGTCTCATTATATGGGGTTCAGTCCCTGAGCCCATTATGTGCCTCTGTAACCCTTTCCACTACCGCCCACAAGATGGGTATGGGGTGCATAATAAATGAACTAAACTAACTCATTATATCTATCCACAGCTTTATTAGTTTCGCTAGAATTGTCTTAGTCTTGCACTTAATCCTTGGCTTAGCATAACAAGTTGTCGTAATCATCTTCTTTAAGATATCACAAGGTTAATCGCGTAGAAAATCAACAGCGGAGAATATAATCCCCCCCTGCCCCCCCCCATTCAGTTCATGAAATTAATGTCCTATGAGAATAGTTGTCTAGTAATCTAAGATCGTTTAAGTGAACCATTAAAAATGGGTATAAAGCATTACTAATATATTCATATGTCTTTGTAATTCGCATTAAAACTTTCTTTTCGGAAGATTCACACCAAATTGTTGGGAGAGGTGTTATTTCATCATAACTTGTAAAAGAATGTATAATGATGATATCCACAAGACTGGATAAAGTAATTGCAGAGCTCCAGGTACTTAACACCAGCAAGGTGTAAAATCTTATCATTGCTACTAAGTTTGTTCGTCAATGAAGGGGGAATTCGGACGTAAATAATACAGCTAATGCCATCTATCCGCAGAAAAAATGACTATCAGATGGTTAATTTTAGCAGCTCATAAGATACAGCTCATGCCATCTACTGGGAACAATTTACACCACCAAAAGTCCATGCAAAAATCCCATAAGACACACATGGCGCCATCTGTTAGAATGCAAATACACTATAAACAGGCCAACAGCAACCCATAAGGCGGGTTGTTGTGCGGAAGCGAGGAGTCACGTGCTTGGATTTCATTGGTGGAATCCTCTTTGTTGACATTCATCTCAGCAGCCAATCACAGGAAGGAATCAGCCCCTACATGCCCCGCCCACTTAACATCTCCGGTGTTCACAACACCAACCCGCTTATGACATTATGTTGCAACACTAATCTTCCCAAAAGTTAACTTTTATAACATTTTAAATTGTTAAATAAGTAATGATGATTATTGAAAGATATAACGGTTGTTATTCAAAAAATCTACCTGTCCTGAGGCTAGGATCATCCAGCCGTGGCCCGAACTGTGTATTCAAATGTTTTTTTTTTCTCAAATATACGGCAGAATATATATACATTTCCTCAAATATTATTTCATAGTAAAATGTGCTGAATAGTTAGGTCTAACTCAGGTTTGTGTTGGCCAGTATTGGTATTTAGAGTACGCGGATGAAGCAGTTATTGAAATGTGATTCGAGCCCAGAATGTGAACGAAGCATTTGCTTGAGAAAAACACATAATCAACAGTTATGAGTCGTGTGTAAAAGTGTTTTTTTGGTATATAAAAACAAAGGGGTCTGATGGCTGAATTAACGAGCATTTGACCTTTCTTGATGGTAACGGATTGCCGACAAATGTCCTGGCTGCCTGACCCATGGCGTCATCAGTGAGGCTTCGAAACAAATAACATAAATGCTTCGATCCCCGCCTTCTTATGATTTTTTTTTTTTAATGTGTGTGTGTGTGTGGGGGGGGGGGTACCCTTCTACTTTTGGGATCCGTGATTTGAAACTTCTGTGGCCAAAATGAATGACACATCTATATATAATCTATCAAAATGAAAGCTCCATCTATGTATAATCTATCAAAATGAAAGCTCCATCTATGTATAATCTATCAAAATGAAAGCTCCATCTATCTACATATCCATCCATCTCTCTTGAAGCATACTGAACTATAATAACGTTATAGTTACCATAATAACGTAGTTCAAAGTGTTTTACGAACATGCAAGGACCAAAGCCATTAATTGCATTCACGTAGAATTCAAATCACAAGCCTTCATTCACCTCGTTTTAATCTAAGCTAACAAACTTAACATATACGGAAACATATAGAGTTTCCCGGGAGCCGGTCAGCCGAGCGGACAGCACGCTGGACTTGTGATCCTGTGGTCCTGGGATCGATCCCAGGCGCCGGCGAGAAACATTTGGCAAAGTTTCTTTCACCCTATGTCCCTGTTACCTAGCAGTAAAATAGGTACCTGGGTGTTAGTCAGCTGTCACGGGCGGCTTCCTGGGGGTGGAGGTCTGGTCGAGGACCGGGCCGCGGGGACACTAAAGCCCCGAAATCATCTGAAGATAACTGACTCCCCCCCTGGCAGTTACGGGGGCCGCTCCGCGCTCGCCCGACTTTCCATCATTAAGGATAATTTGCATTAATGAGATCAGGTATTTAGACCCAAAAATTTTTCTTTGAAATTCATGCTAAATGCTTGAATGTAAATTAAGAGTTTCACAAGTTAACTTCTCGTGAGGGGGGGGAAAAACAAGCCTTATATTCCACCTGCAGAAAGGTGAGTGTTCCGTGAACTCCGTTTTTGCTGCTGATTGCAAGGAACGCGGGCCCCCTCACATCTCATAGAAAACGAGGGCTCACAGCAGACAGAAAACAGGGCATCATATCTTTCAGAAAACGAGTCCTCACAGATCAGTAAACCTCACAGAAAACGTGACCTCAAAGCTCACAGAAAACCGGGCAACATAGCTCACAGAGAATAGGCCCTTGAAACCCCCAGAAAACAAGACCCCGAAACTCCACAGAAAACGGGACCTCACAAATCACAGAAAATGGAACTTCACCGCTCACAGAAAACAAAACGTCTCAGAGATTATAAAAAACGAGACCTCACAGATCACAGAAAATGGAACTTCACCGCTCACAGAAAACAAAACCTCTCAGAGATTACAGAAAACGGGTACCTCACAGCTTAGAAAACAGGCGACCACTTGCCAATCACGCCCAGAACAATTATTTTGGTTCATCACCGTAAATCATAATGAAGTGAGACCGACCACCTCAAGGAACGTGATTGCAGATTTAGTTACCATTATTTTTTCTTTTGTTTTTTCCAAAATTAAAATCCTGAGCTGTTCGCCCAAACTAATAAGTCGTGCGTGATTAAATTTGTCTCCTTTAGTAACTCCTTTAGTAAGCCAGTGTCTGGGATGCTCCCGGACGCAGGTTCGAATCCTCGTCACGGCCCTTGTGGATTTGTTCGTCTCCTTTAGTCTCCCATTAAACAGTTCAAGGGCGACTAAAGTTTCGGCCAAGAAGCGCAGCCCTCAAGACGAATTCATCAATGTTGTATTGTGTATGAAGTATATTATAATTTGAATTATAATTAGCCGTAGGTTAGGTTAGGTGTTTAGGTTTTTGCTGGTAATTCTGTATATAAACTTGGTTGTATAAACAGTATGAAAATGGCGTCGAGCTCATTGAGTCCAGAAAAAGGAGGGAATTAGGATAGAAAGCTGTTCAAATCTCCGACCTGGCATTAGGCTGTAGAAGTGACACCAGAGGCCGTGACAGTGACACCAGAGGCCGTGACAGTGACACCAGAGGCCGTGACAGTGACACCAGAGGCCGTGACAGTGACATGCTGTAACACAAAAGAGCGTGACAGTAACACAAGAGGCCGTGACAGTGACACAAGAGGCCGTGACAGTGACACAAGAGGCCGTGACAGTGACACAAGAGGCCGTGACAGTGACACAAGAGGCCGTGACAGTGACACAAGAGGGCGTGACAGTGACACAAGAGGGCGTGACAGTGACACAAGAGGGCGTGACAGTGACACAAGAGGGCGTGACAGTGACACAAGAGGGCGTGACAGTGACACAAGAGGGCGTGACAGTGACACAAGAGGGCGCGTGACAGTGACACAAGAGAGACACCCGTGACAGTGACACAAGAGGGCGTGACAGTGACACAAGAGGCCGTGACAGTGACACAAGAGCCGTGACAGTGACAGTGACACAAGAGGCCGTATCAGTGACACAAGAGGCCGTATCAGTAACACAAGAGGCCGTGACAGTAACACAAGAGGGCCGTGACAGTAACACAAGAGGCCGTATCAGTGACACAAGAGGGCGTGACAGTGACACAAGAGGGCGTGACAGTGACACAAGAGGCCGTATCAGTGACACAAGAGGGCGTGACAGTGACACAAGAGGGCGTGACAGTGACACAAGAGGGCGTGACAGTAACACAAGAGACTGCGATAAATTAGAGGAACGTTGTCCTTAAAAACTCCCGACAGGCAGCCAGAGAACGTCGATCGTGAGAGACGAGGAGACAGGAAAAGCAGAGGAAGGGAAGAGGGATGGCAGCGGCAGACCAAAAAAGGGAGCCACAGCGGAAGGCAGCGGGATAAAGAAGATTCTATGTATGTACTAACACGATGTACTGAACGGGGGTGAGAATAGCTTAAGCTACCTCATCCCTTTGTGTGTATTTTACCTCAATAAACTTATTTCAATTTCAACAAGATTCACCTCCAGCAATGTGAATAGAAGTTGCTGCCCAAACGTCGCCTGAGCAGCGCTCCACCGGCGACGAGGTCCGACGTCTGTTGTCCAGCAGACGTCGGACCAAGTCTGCTGGCCAGCAGAGCCAAGACTCTGCTGGCCACCAGACTGGCGGGTCCCATCCGTTGACTCTTTCTCGGTGTTTGGGTGGAGTTCGCAGAAGGTGGAGGGCTGCGGAGGCTGGGGGGTTGATGGGGAGTGGAGGCAGTGGGGGATGGAATGGTGGTAGGGGGTATTAGTTGAACCTGTCGGGGTTGGAATGGTTGAGGTGGGGAGGAGTGGGTAAAGGAATAATAATGGTGGTTGCAGTAGGGGACATGGTGATAGGGATGGTGGTGGTTGTGGTGGCAGTGGGGTAGGGGGGATGGTGGTGAAGGTAGTGGTGGGTGTGATGGGTTATGATTATGAGGGGAGGAGCTGAAGGCCGTGATGATAGTGTGGAGGATAGTGTTTATGGTGGTAGGGGGAATGCTGGTTATGATGGTACTACGGGGAAGTGACTTCTAATCCCTTTTTTATGCCCCCCGTCTACTAGTCTTGTTGTACCTTACGAGTCTTGAGTTAACTTTCAAGACGTACGAATTCTTTGTCGGCTCTGGCCCTAAAGTTGTGGATGGAGGTGGCTTCCACAACTTCTTTCAATGCATTCCACTTGCTGACCATCCGCACAATGCACGAGTATTGCCTTACAGTTCTACGACGCATTTGTGTTTCCAACTTCCTATCGTCCTACATTCTCTCAGTGTAAAGAGACTGTTCTTGCCCACTTTGTCTACTCCTATCAGTATCTTGTATGACGTGATCATGTCCACTCATACAAAACATAAAAACACTGTTTATTCTCTGCTTTTGCAGGCGATGAGTCACAATAACGTGGCTGAAGTAGTTTGACCAAACCACACACTAGAAGGTGAAGGGACGACGACGTTTCGGTCCGTCCTGGACCATTCTCAAGTCGATTCTCACAATCGACTTGAGAATGGTCCAGGACGGACCAAAACGTCGTCGTTCTCGTCTTTTGTTTTGTTACAGTTAACTTAACCTGGCTTCGTATATTAACACTATTATTTCATGCACTGGTTTCATGCTTCACGATATGCGGGCTCCAGGCCGGTGCTGCGTATTTGTAGCAATGAAGTACATAAATGGATGAAAGATATAACAAAGGGAGTATTAATTGTGTGTTAAATATGTGACTACATAAAACAATGGATATCGATATTGGATACGTTTAGATTCAGGAAAGACCTGGGTAAATATTCGATCATTTGATCAAAACATTCGATCAAATACAGGTTTATTGATTATTATTAAACGTGAGTAAACCATAATGTTTCATACTATAGGAGAGAGAAACGCGCCCTGGAAACACAAACCGAAACTGTCTCTATTTTTCGCTTGTTACAACTTGTAATAAAGTTGTTACATCTTAGCTTAACGTGTTTATGACGTATTAGAACGTTGTTACAACTTGCTATATTGGTTGTTATTACTGGTTAGGAGGTGTTAAAACTTGTTCGAACGTAGTACCAACGTCGTAGTTTCGGCGTGTGTTTGGCGGGCTACGTGCACGCTAAGTGAAGTCCCCCTAAAAAAAATGCGAATATGGCAAGCATGCATAGAAATCCTTTGAAATTTTCAGCTGTGTCAAATGTCTGACACAGGACGAGGAGGCATTTCGAGGTGTCACACCTTGAAGACGACACATAGACACTTTGACACAGCTGAGTGCATGAATCCTTTGAAATTTTCAGCTGTGTTGCATTTTGAAATTTCAGTTATTTTATAGCAATCCATGAAGAGTTTCGAGCTTTTCTAGAAACCTTTGAAGCTTTCAGCTTGAATAGAAGAGAAATTAGCTCTGTCTACCACAGTAGAAGATCCTTTGAACAGTTTCAGCTGTGTGACAGTAAACAGCAAGAGAGTCATACCGGTGACACAGTAGACAGCAGGAGCCCCATGGTCATTCCGGTGCGACAGTAAAGAGCGAGGAGAGTCAGCTTTCCAGTGACAGTAGACTACGCAGGAAGAGCGACAGTTTACTGTGTGACAGTAAACAGCAGGAGAGTCATTCCGGTGACAGTAGACAGCAGGAGAGTCATTCCGGTGACAGTAGACAGCAGGAGAGTCATTCCGGTGACAGTAGACAGCAGGAGAGTCATACCGGTGACAGTAGACAGCAGGAGAGTCATTCCGGTGACAGTAGACAGCAGGAGAGTCATTCCGGTGACAGTAAACAGCAGGGAGTCATTCCGGTAGACAGCAGGAGAGTCATTCCGGTGACAGTAGACAGCAGGAGAGTCATTCCGGTGACAGTAGACAGCAGGAGAGTCATTCCGGTGACAGTAGACAGCAGGAGAGTCATTCCGGTGACAGTAGACAGCAGGAGAGTCATTCCGGTGACAGTAAACAGCAGGAGAGTCATTCCGGTGACAGTAGACAGGAGAGTCATTCCGGTGACAGTAGACAGCAGGAGAGTCATTCCGGGGACAGTAGACAGCAGGAGAGTCATTCCGGTGACAGTAGACAGCAGGAGAGTCATTCCGGTGACAGTAGACAGCAGGAGAGTCATTCCGGTGACAGTAGACAGCAGGAGAGTCATTCCGGTGACAGTAGACAACAGGAGATTCGTTCTAGTGACAGAAGACAGCTCTTCTACGACCTATTGTTGTGAAGAGAGATTTTCACCTCTGACAAATATCAACAACCAGAGAAGAGAAAGAATTCTTTGTGGTGAGAGAGAATTTGTTGTTGTTAAATTAGTAGGAAGGGAAGGGAAGGGAACTATCAGGAGGGGAAAGCGCCAAGCCATTACGACTATATAGCACTTGGAAGGGATTGGGATAAGGATTTGTGATGGGACGAGGGGGGGAAAGGAATGGTTCCCAATCACTTGGACGGTCGGGGATTGAACGCTGACCTGCATGAAGCAAGACCGTCGCTCTACCATCCAGTTCAAGTCGTTGGGTATTGTGTTGAGAGAGAGAGAGAGAGTTAGTTTGTCTCAAATTAGACCTAATCTAAATGAGACCCCATGACAAAAAAAACCCTCATACCTCTCATTGTATTTGTATACAATGTATACATATATACACCTCTCGTTGTATACAATGTATACATATATATACACCTCTCGTTGTATACAATGTATACATATATACACCTCTCGTTGTATACAATGTATACATATATACACCTCTCGTTGTATACTTGCTTAAGGTTACATATGTAAGAGGCTTCGGCTATAAGTATTATTTTCGAGAAATGAATCATGTTTCTTTCATGTAACTGGACTGTTTTACACCTTTTGCATTCCCCGGTCATCATATTATAAACTAGTGGAGTTCTACCTTAAAACTCAGGCAATAAAAACAGTTTTTTTTTCATAAAAAATCCGGTGTGTCGAGGCAAATTTTTGTTCGTAAAGTGCGGCCCAGATAAACAGTTTGGGAAGCCCTCTGCCGCAGGTTATAATGGTAATTTGGAGACGGTGAGGCAGACGGGAGGCGGCAGTGGTGGTAACCGTCTAGCAAAGGTGAGCAAAGGTGACAGGTGTATCGCTGACAGTAAGGACATTGCGTTAATGTGGTTTCTCTGTCTAGAGTAAGGAGACGTATTAAGTTACACATCTCAGTGATATCTGGCGACCGGCCTTTTTCCACAATGGTACCCGGAAAAGTTTAACTAGTATGTACCTATTTCCTGCTAGGCGAGCAGTGGTATCAGGTGTAAGGAAGCGTGGCCACACGCCACACCCTGTATGGGAATCGAACCTGGACCGAAGTGTTTTTGGGCGTGTAGACAACTTCTCGAGGTTAGGCTGCTTCGAGTGGGTTGTCAACACCGTGGTAGGCGATGGGCACAAGTGTTTTCTCCAGGGGGTTCTCCATTTTGGGTACTCGTAAACCCCTTTGGTCGAAGGGTACTCGTAAACCCCTTTGGTCTAGGGGTACTCGGGAAACCCCCTTTGGTCTAGGGGTATTCATAAACCCCTTTGCTCTAGGGCTACTCGTAAACCCCTTTGGTCTAGGGGTACTCGTAAACCCCTTTGGTCTAGGGTTACTCGTAAATCCCTTTGGCCTGAGGATACCAGTAAATCCCTTTGGCCTAGAGGTAATCGTACCCAAGTTCTTAGTACTCCTCTACCTTCCAGGTTACACACACACACAAGAGGAGAACTAGGAGATGGTAGAGAGAGAAAAAAATGGAAGAACACTACCTTTTGAACACTTTTGAACACTAAGCAAGGAGTGAGGAAAGCGTGGAAAGCGAGGAGTGAGACACAAGTGTCCTGGAGGCGACCATTAGCGGTCCTTTACAAACACCGTCTCCTCTCCACTCCTCAAACAGTAGCAGCACTCTGCCACCTTGATCAACAACCCCAACACTTGTCACTGGAGGCTGGCTTCCTGCTCCAGACACTTGGGTTGGGCTCCGCTGGGTACTTCTTGGACCCCGGCTTAGGGGCTCTTAATCTCGCCGTGACAATCACTGTGAATACAATATATCGTAAGTGAGAGAACACACTGTTTCTATCATGGGCGCTCTCTCTCTCTCTCTCTCTCTCTCTCTGCCTCTCACGGCCATAGAGGGCAGCCCCTCTCTGCCTCTCACGGCCATAGAGGACGGGCAGCCCCACGCACCCATCTCGCTAGAAGCCCACACCACGGTGCTAAAACTCCCCCGCCAGGCAGGATACACACGTGCGAGGGGCAGGATCAGCCGAGCAAGGGTTGTGGTGGCCTCCGTCCATTAGCTAATGTAGTCCTAAGTGTGTGTGTGTGTGTGCGTGTGCTCACCTAAATGCACTCAAGTAAATGTACCCACCTAAATGGGCCTTGGAGGGGTTCGAGCGGTAACTCTCTTAAATCCCGCCTTAAACCTGTCGGTTGTCTAATGCTTCCTCAATGGTTTTCTCTTCACACTTCGGCTCTGTTTACCAGGAGTGCTGCTGCTCTGCTCTCCTCTGCTCTGCTCTGCTCCTCTCCCTCTCCTCTCCTCTCTCCTCTCCTCTCTCTCCTCTCTCTCTCTCTCTCTCTCTCTCTCTCTCTCTCTCTCTCTCTTCTCTCTCTCTCCTCCTCTCTCTCTCTCTCTCTCTCCTCTCTCT